CCCCCCGAGGAGCCCGAGGAGCAGCCGGGAGCTGCGAGAGCCGGGCTGGGTTTATTTTGGCGGCGGCGGCGCCGGGAGCGGTGCTGGGTTGCCAGAGTTTGTGAATGTGGGTCAGCACATCCCACACCTACAGGAACGGCCTTGTTTTCCCAAATCCGGCCAGATCCCACAGCCTTCCCTGGAGCAGCGCAGGATGAGGCTGGGTGTGATCGCTGCGGGATTCACTCGGACACGGCGGGTTCGCACCCACCCCAGCCCCTGCTCAGGCTGCTCCTTTCTATCGTCCTTTTGTAACAGAGGACGAAGGTTTGGGGAGAAAAAAAAAAAAAAATCCTTATTTTCAGCACACTCCTTTCAGCGTGCTGAACCAGCCGTGACCCTCGGACACAGCGAGTGTTTTCCTGCTCACCTCCATCCCTGGAGTTTTCCAGAGCCAGGATGGGGCCGGATTTCCACCCAGCCCACCCTGCCCAGGGCCCAGCAGCCCCCAGCCAGGGCGGGCAGTACTTGCTGGTCCCTCACTGTTGATGCACGGATTTTTCCAGGCTGTGCCAATGCCCGTGGCACAGGTGGCACCATTTACCCCTGTGGCTGTGGGTAAAGCCCCACTGCTTTCCGGCCCCAAAATCCCTGTAAAGCACTTCCCTGCACGGCACAGCTCCCACCGTGCTGGGGACTGCCAGCATGGGGAGCCCTGTTCCCCTCAAAGCCGGGGCTGCACAGATCCTGGACCCACAAAATTGTGGTTCAGAGGGGAAGTTTCCCCTTCCCCAGTACTCTTTAATATTTTTTTTTTAGGTTATTAGGCCGAGCTGTCGGTTCAGGGGAAGAGGGATGCTCATCCCCACCCATCCCTGAGCCGAGCACTGGCACCCTCACTCCTGGCTCTGTTTCCCCTCTGGCACAGCCTCCCCTGCCCAGGGAGCCGAGCTCCACTTCCCACCAGCTCCAGGCAATCCCCTGGGCTCCCTTTGCCCACATCCATCCATCCACCCACCCAACATCCATCCATGGATCCATCCATCCATCCATCCATCCATCCATCCATCCATCCATCCATCCATCCATTCCCCATCCCGGAATGTGGGGCTGGCTCGGTCCCGGTGGCTCAGGGGCTGCCCCAGCGATGCCGGCACCGCCCGCAGCTCCAGCTGCTGCCCGGGCGCTGCCCTAAAACGCCCTGGGCAGAGGCGGGGAGAGCCAGAAGGGCCCTGCTGGAAGCGGGAGGGGCCGCTCGGCAGCTCTGGGTGGGTTACAGAGATGGAAAAGTTTGGGGAATCCTCACTTTTTCCATGGGCTGAGCCCCCCGGAGCCCCTCGGGGTCGGTGGCCCCCGGTGCTGTCCCCACCAAGCTTCACGTGCAGAATTGCATTAAAAACTCCACTGGAGAACCCAAAATCCACCGGAGCAGGAGGCTGGAGGGACACACAAAAGGGACCAAATCCACGCCGGGATCAGCTCCCAAAATCTCCAAAAATCGGCTGCCGGGCTGAGCGGGAGCTCCCGGGTGGGGCGGCTTTCCCAAGGACAGGACGTCACCGAGCCGATGCTTCACCCTAAGTGACAACTCTGCCCTCAGGATGGAGCTCCGGGGAAAATCCCGAGCGGTCAGAGGGCTCCAGTCCCTCTTGGTGCCCCCATTCCCATTCCCATTCCCGAGCCGCAGCGGTGGCGTCTCAGTGCCTGTCCCTTGTCCCTCTGAGCTGCGCTGGTGGCAGCAGAGCGGTGGTGACAGTGGTGGCAGCAGGGTTGTGGCACCACCAGGGATGTGAGAGCTGTCCCCTGGCTCCAGCCCCGCTCTGGGAACACGGAGCCGAAACTCCAAAATCCATTGCAATTCCAAAATTGCAAAATCCAGCGACTGGGGGGGCGGTGACCCAGGGCACGGCGACTGTGCCACAGTGCGACAGTGCGACAGTGGGACAGTGTGACAGTGGGACAGTGGGACAGTGGGACAGTGGGACAGTGTGACAGTGCGGCAGTGTGACAGTGGGACAGTGGGACAGTGCCACAGTCCCCGCTGTTGCTGCCGGGCCGGCTGCAGCCTCTCCCTGTGGTGCTTTGCACGCTGGGCTCTTAAACACAGGAAAACGCAGCAGTGGGATTGAAAACAACTTCACAAACATCCCACCGGCTCCTCGTGACGCTCGGCACGGGGACAAATCCTCGTGGGGCCCTGCGGGGACACGGAGCAAACCCTGAACTCTGGGCTGGCCCGCTCGTGATGTGCTGCTGCTGCTGCTCCAACCTGGATTTCTCAGCGTTCTCAGCGTTCTGTGGTGGCCGTGACGCCGTCACCTCTGAGCCCAGCAGCCCCAGACATCGCCCCAGGGAGCAGAACCTCATTTTCCAGTTGGGGAAACTGAGGCACGAGGGGTGGGGATGGCAGAGGCGTTTCCTGGACACGCCAGCGAGTCAGGGACTGAATTTCCCTCTTGGCTCTCCTGCCTGGGAGAAAGTGGCCAGGCAGGAACACCCAGCCGGGGGTCTCCAAACACCCACCCGGGGGTCTCCAAACACCCACCCGGGGGGCTCAAACACCCACTCGGGGAGTTCCAAAAACCCATGTGGGGGTTCCAACACCCACTCAGGGGGTCCCGAACACCCACCCGAAGGCTCCAACACCCACCCGAGGGGTCCAATCCCCACAGGGAGGTTCCAAACACCCACCCGAGGGATTTCAAACACTCACCCAAGGGCTCAAACACCCACCTGGGGGCACAAAAACCCACCCGAGGGATTTCAAACACCCACCCGAGGGGCTCCAACCCCCACCGAGGGTCCCGAGCACAGCTCAGCCCCGCTGCTCCCCCCGCGCTTTTCCTTAGGGGGACCCAGCCCTGCTCCGAGAGCGCAGCTGAGCTGTGAAATCCCAAATCCGAGGCTGGCCCGGGAGCCACCTCCGCCTGCCCCGCGCCTCTCCCCTCTCCCGGCGCCGCTCCAGCCTCCAGCAGAAGCTCCCGGAGCGCTGCGGGCGCGGGTTGGCCGCGTGTTTGCGCTCCCAACCTCCGGGGTTTTTTTTGTTTTGTTTTGTTTTTTTTGTTTTATTTTTTGTTTCTATTTAATTTGATTTTTTCTCTCTCTCTCTTTTCTTTCTTTTTCTTTCTTTTTTTTTTGGAAGGAATTGAGGGGGGAAAAAAAAAAAAACCAACCAAAAAAACCTAAAAAAACCAAACCCGAAGCCCAACCCAGAGGCAGCCCCGCGGCCCGGCCGGCCCCCATCGCCGGGGCCGGGGGATGCGGGGCGGGCGCGGGGGCGGGCGCGGAGCCCCGCGGGGCCCCAGGTGAGCGGGACGGGACGGGAAGGGACGGGAAGGGACGGGCCCCGCACCGAGCCCGCAGCTCCCGCACCCCCCGCACCCCCCGCACCCATGTCCCGGCCCGGCAGCCCCCGGCCGAGCCGCCCGGAACAGCCCCGGACCGAGCCGGTCCCGCCGCCAGGTACGGGGGGACACGGAGGGGACAAAGGGGTGCGGGGGTGGGGGACACGGTGGGGGACACGGTGGGGACACGGTGGGGACACGGTGGGGACACACGGCTGGAGGGGGGGAGCGTGTGTGTGCACCAGTAAGGGCTGTTTTGTGCTCACTGGGAAGGTTTTGGGATCGTGGGGAAGGTTTTGGGATCCCAGGGAAAGCCGTGAGATCTCAGCAAAGGTTTTAGGATCACGAGGAAGGCTTTGGGATCCCAGGGAAGGTTTTGGAATCATGGGGAAGGTTTTGGGATCCCGGGAAAGGATTTGGGATCATGGGGAAGGTTTTGGGATCCTGGGGAAGGTTTTGGGATCCCAAGGAAAGTTTTGGGATCCCAGGGAAGGTTTTAGGAATCCCGGGAAAGGTTTTAGGATCCCAGAGAAGGTTTTGGGAATCCCGGGGAAGGTTTTGGGATCCCAGGGAAGGTTTTGGGATCATGGGGAAAGTTTTGGGATCCCAGGGAAGGTTTTAGGATCCCGGGGAAGGTTTTGGGATCCCAGGGAAGGTTTTAGGATCCCGGGGAAGGTTTTGTGATCCCAGGGAAGGTTTTAGGAATCCCGGTGAAGGTTTTAGGATCCCGGGGAAGGCTGTGGGATCCCGGTAGGGTGTGTGCACGAGTGGGGGGTGTGTGCAGAGCTGCCAGGGCACCGAGTGAGGGATGAATAAATCAATATATTCAGCGTGTGCGGGGCTGGGGGTGCATTTCTGGGGGATTGGCTCAAACCTCGGGGGGTGCGGGGATGCATTGCTGGGCACGGTGAGTGTGCACGGAACGGGGGAGGGGGAGAGCGAGTGCACGGCTGGGGAGGGGGCGTGAGCAGGTCTGGGGGGGGAGAACGCATGGCTGAGTGTTTGTGTGAGTGCTCCTGCAGGGCTGTGAACAGCTGGGTGTGTGTTTGTGAACAGCTGGGTGTGTGTTTGTGCCCCTGGAAGTGTTTGGGTGTGTTTGTGTGTGATTGTGAACTCTGGGTGTGTGTTTGTGCAGGATTGTGAACTCTGTGTGTTCGTGCAGGGCTGTGAACATCTGTGTGTGTGTGATTGTGAATATCTGGGTGTGTGTTTGTGAACAGCTGGGTGTGTGATTGTGAATATCTGGGGGTGTGTTTGTGTCCCTGGAAGTGTTTGTGTGAGTGTTCGTGCAGGGCTGTGACCATCTGTGTGTGTGTGTGAATATCTGGGTGTGTGTTGGTGCCCCTGGCAGTGTTCGGGTGTATTTGTGTGTGATTGTGAACTCTGGGTGTGTGCTTGTACAGAGTTATGAATATCTGGGTGTGTGTTTGTGCAGAGTTATGAATATCTGAGCGTGTGTTTGTGCAGGGTTGTGAACATCTGGGTGTGTGTTTGTGTGTGATTGTGAACATCTGGGTGTGTGTTTGTGTGTGATTGTGAACATCTGAGCGTGTGTTGCTGCTCCTGGCAGAGTTTGGGTGTGTTTGTGCAGAGTTGTGAACATTTGAATGTATGTTGGTGCCTCAGCGTTATTTGGGTAAATCTGTGTGTGATTGTGAACATCTGAGCGTGTGTTGGTGCTCCGGCAGTATTTGGGTGTATTTGTGTATGTTTGTGCAGGGTTGTGAACATCTCAGGCTGTGTTGGTGCCCCAGCAGTGTTTTCCTGTGTCTGTGTTTGTGTGTGAGCTCAGCAGCTGCCGGGAGCCCGCCGGGATTTCGCATCCCAAAACTCTCCAGCAGTTTCTGTCCCGGGGCCAAGCCCAGGGAGCAGCCGGGGGGGTTTTGAGTTAAACCCCCCCCAGGGATGGGTGAGGGGCTGGGGGCTGCTCGGCAGCTCTGGGTGGGTTACAGGGATGGAAAAGCTCATGGAAAAGTTTGGGGAATCCTCACTTTTTCCACGGGGCAGAGCTGAGCCCCCCGGAGCCCCTCGTGGTCGGTGGCCCCCGGTGCTGTCCCCGCCAAGCTTCACGTGCAGAATTGCATTAAAAACCCCACTGAGAACCCAAAATCCACCGGAGCAGGAGGCTGGAGGGACACACAAAAGGGACCAAATCCACGCCGGGATCGGCTCCCAAAATCCCCAAAAATCGGCTGCCGGGCTGAGCGGAGGCGCGGGAGCCGCGGGCACGGCGGATCCGGCACAGCTGGAGCGGCCCCGTGTTGGCTTTGGCCCGGAGCTCGGCCGGGCTGGGCTTTGGAGAATACATCCTCTTGTTCTCTTCCCCCTGCTCTTCCAGCTGGATGCTGCAGGCTCCGCTTCCCGGCCGAGCTCTGCTCCAAACTCAGCCCCAAACCCCGCGTCCCGGGGCCCAGGCAGCTGCAGGGGGCTGATTTCCCTGGATTTCCTTCCTTCCCCAGGTGGGAAATGGTGAGCTGGGAATGCAAAGAGCTTTTTTGCAAGGGGTTTGTCCCCAGCCCGGCTCGGAGTAGCGCTGAGCACAGCTCCTGTACCAGGATTTTTAAAAGTAGCTTTAAAATACTTTGGGGGAAATGGTTTTGGAGCTTTTCCACCTTCCCTGTGGCTGCAGGGGAGCTGTGGGTGGGTAGAGAGTGGTTCAGCTCCCAGTTGTGCTGGTGGCCTGAGTGGGAGCACTGGGACCTGGCTGAGCTGCCTGGGGACATCTGTGGGTGCCCAGTTTGGTGTTCCCGAGTTTAGGGGACATCCATGAGTTCCCAATTTGGTGTTCCCATGTTTGAGGGACATTGATCAATGCCCAGTTCAGTGTTTCCATGTTTGAGGGACATCCATGAGTGCCCAGTTTGATGTGTCCCTGTTTGGGGACCTGTTGTTCCTATTCCCTGTTGGAGGGACATCCATGAGTTCCCAATTTGGGGTTCCCATGTTTAAGGGACATCTGAGTTCCCAATTTGATGTTCCCATCTTGGAGGGGCATCTATGAGTGCCCAGTTCAGTGTTTCCATGTTTAAGGGACACCCATGAGTTCCCAGTTTGGTGTTCCCAGGTTTAAGGGATATCCATGCCTGCCCAGTTCGATTTTCCCAACTTGGAGGGACATCCATCAGTGTCCAGCTCCATGTTTGCCCAGTTCAATTTTCTCACATTGAAGGGGTCTCACCTCCACCCCAAACCATCCCAAACCACCCCAAACCATCCCAAACCCCTCCTCCTCTTCCTCAGCCCCTCCAGAGGGGCACCCACGGTGTGAACAGAGCAGGGCTGGACCAAATTTACCTCCCCTGCAGGTTGGGGAGGACAAGGGGGTCTCTCACTCCCCACCTGCTGCAGAGCCTCAATTCCACCCCTCAGGGAGCAGCTCCATCCCAAATCCCAAACCCTCTCCCCCAGCTCTGATTTTGGTGAGGGATGAGCAGCCAGGCCCCTCCGTGTGTGTCCCTGTGACATTTGGGTGCACAGCCCTGGTGGCCTGGGACGGGGCCAGCAGCTCTGTCACGCAGCACGAGCCTGGGAATTCTCCCTCCCTTCCCTTTCCCGACTTTCACAACCCAGACCGGCTCGTTTGGACGGGGGAATAATCAGGGAAATTGAGGTGCCAGGCTGGTTTGGGCCAGCTCGGGTGGGCTTTGCTGCTGATTCCCAGCTGGACACGGAGATTTTTTTTCCTGGAGTTTTGTTCCCTGGCATCTGCGGGTGCCACCACAGCTCCTCCCACCCAGCAGGGACAGGGACACGGCAAACCAAGGTCCCGAAATAACCACAGGTAGTCTGCAGAGAGAAAAGGCCTCTGTCTGCCCTGGGAATTATTTTTTCAGAGGAATTAGCAGAAAACAGGAGGGAAAAACAAGAGTTTTTAGCTCGGTAAATGATCCTTGAGTGAGAGGGAAGCAGGAGAGGATCTTTCCTCCTCCTCCATGTGAGGATGATGAAGATAAAATCCATCTCCAGCAGCAAAACTTCCCTGGGGTTGGCTCTGCCCATTCCCACCTCCCTTTTCCCTTCCCATCAGGACATTTGTCCCCTCTGTCACATTTTTATCTTCTTTTTCTTCTTCGCCAGGGTCAGGATTGATACACGAGAGAGACAGGATTTTTTGTTTGGAGTTAGATGTTTATTAATTTTTATTTACGTTACAGTATTTTTAGTTAATCAGCTAAAAAAACGGAGTCGTATTTTTCTTTTTATAAGGTTTTTTTTTTAAGGCTAAATGGTTCAACTAAGAAATGCTACTTAAATTATTTTTACTTTTAACTAATTGCTTGTGATTCACAATGCAGATTTTTTTATTTCATCATATAAAATTACTTAGGCTCACGAAGAAGGAGGGGAAGAAGAAAGACAAAACTTTGGCTTTGAAACTTTTATTTCGCTTTTCATATATTGCTGTATTTTAAAACCTTCAATTCTAAATTTTGACACACAGCACGGAAAGTTCAAAACTCCAAAGTTTCCAAGGTTCTAACACCCCTCCATGTCCCCAATCCTTGCCTGTGTCCCAGTCTGGCCGCTCAGAATTTGGGACACACATTTTTCCTTAATTCCTTCTGCCTGTTCCCAAGGATTTTGCCCCGAGGTGTAAGAGGAGGCGGGAAAAATCTGTTTTGTGCTCAGCCCTAAACACGAAACATTCAGACCCAAAATATCCCCTGGGGGCCTGCACGAGGTGCCCCAAGCAGGGAATTCTCACTCAGGAACCTTTTCCTGGCACTGTCCTGCTCTGGGACAGGGGTAGGAACAAAGAAAAACCCCATCCAAAATCAAAATAAACCGATTTTTTTCTTGTCTCAGCACTGATTGAAATGCAGGATGGCAGAGTTGCATGCAGCCATCCCCAAAGTGCAAGGAGCCCCTCCCAAAAAAAAGCCCTGAAAGAAACAAAACTCTATTTTTTTTACCCCACAGAAAGACTTTTCTGCAGCATTTCTGTTTTTCTTTCCAAGTTTTTTTTCTTGTCAGCTCCTGAAAACGCTTCACTCATGTTTGTTCTTTGAACAACAGCAAAGCTTAGGAAGAAAAAGAAATGAAACCCGAGGAAAAAAAAAAAAAAGAAAAAGAAAAAGAAAAAGAAAAATCAGAATTCTGTTTTTTTTCAAAGTTTCT